ACTACACTATTGTGCACATGCGCTCTCGTTGTACCGGTGTTTTCCATGCAAAAAGAAAATACAGAGCTCATCTTTCTTAGCGACGCCTTTGAGTGAAGGTGGAAAAATTATTACACAATTCTATATTGGAAGAACATTCAGGAGTCATCGGTTCAAGAGAAATCATGACTTCGTCACAGACATCAAAAGGGATGGAAGCTGTAAGTAATATTATTGATATGATATATCTTTTCACGATTTAGAAATACCAATTTTTTAAGTTAAAAGATGACAGACGACCATGCCACGTCTGCACAAGCTCAACTGAGCATGCTGTCGGTGTTGTTACTGTTTTTTGTTGTTGTGATGAAAATCCTCTCAGAGAATTATTTGCCCACATTGTATTTACTGATTTGGCATTATCTTAAGACGTATTTTCAGTAGGCAAACTGCCTCTTAGTAACTTCTATTTCAGTTACTTATATTGCTGCATCATACAGCATATGGCGCAAAAATGCAGACCATGCTGGATTCTTTTATGCAACCTAGAAATCGTGCTCTGTGCATTGTTTGTTAGCCGGTTTGCCATGAGGCGGGAGGGGATTCTATGAAGCGTGGCCGCCAAGTATAGCAGCATATCACGCATGCATCGCGCGGGAAAATCGCCCGCACTTTGCCTTGCCTAACAATTTGTTAGCATGTGCTCTTCTCTTTGAATTTTCACGGAGGACAGTTAAAATGTTGTTCTTCTCTATTTCAATGGTCTTTTGTTGATTGTTGTTAATGTATTTAATGTCTGATCTTTGCATTGATTGATTCATTGAAGTTTGAACAAAGTTGTGGCAATGCCAATGCCAGGGAATTTGCTTTTAATTTTATTCAAACTTCAACTTGCTTTTTCATGTTCTGTGTTATTGTGAATGTGATGTTTGGTTATGCCATGGTAATTTCATGAGTTGACAAATTTCCTTTGAAGAACGAGATTGCAATCATTTATTTTGAAATGATGTAACATTTTAGAAATGTCTAGCCCTAAAAGACTTCAAGTGATTTAGATTTGTTTCATGAATGTGATCATTCAAATTAAAGTCTTAATCTTATCTAGTATTCTAGACTCATCTCTAGATCTTTTGTTTTGATTGATCAAACCAGAATCAGATGGGTATGTTGGTCCTGATCTGACTTGATATTCATCATTTTGTCTTGGAAATTGGCATGTAGACTTTTTTTCTAAAATTTGTTTTCCCAAGGAGGTCATGTAGAAGGCACTCCTGTGCCACAGCTCGGTCAGAAGGATCAAATTCCCTTCTCCCTTTCAAATCCATCCCCAGCCCTGCCAAGATTTATGGGAGAGGGGATGAATGAAAACTGAGTTAGCCTATGACCGGTTACTGTAGAATAGACAGTCTACTACGTTTGCAAAAGTGAAAATGTCTCCTTTCTGCTCCATTTGTATAGAGTCTAGTAGGTCTCCGACTTTTAGAACAGAATTGTTTTAATTTTACTCCCGATTGTTGTATGAATGCATCCACTTCATCTTCCTGTGCATGGTAGAAATAAAAGTAGCCTAGTCTAGAATTGGTTGATCTTTCTTGGAGTTTGTTTTCAAGCTTACAATGACACAAATTACATCACCAAAGGAAACAACATGTTTCTTTAAATAAAGGTATCTCTTATGCACCTAATGTACAAAACTAAAGAACAAAGGGAGGAATTGTAAATTTTTCAAAGGAAGGGATTGTTTGAATGATTTGATGCAAGTATATGAAAGAAAAAGCTAACCGAAAGCCCGATGTGGAGCCTGTATTGTGAAGACTAGTTGGATAGTAGTGCGTGCGGTACCGATTGACCATAAATGGAAGCGAGAGCCCATCCCATTCATATTGGCCAAGTACTGAACATGTTAATGAGCCAGACATATGAAGTATACTGCATGCCAGGCTCCCGGTAAATGGGCTGGGCCTAGCTAGGCTTGTCTGCAATGTTTAGAAAATGATTGTGATTGCGTGCACTGCATGCTTGTGGTAACTTTTGCTACAGTACTATTTCTCTGCTACCCCCTTTTTTTCCTTCTAAACCTTGGGTTTGCTTCATGTTCTACCCTGGCAAAAGGAAAGTTGGTTGGGTTTATTGAAAATCTTTTGATTCTTTTCCATGATCATAACAAAGGAACTTACATGTAAAACATAGCATCCAATACAAACTCTGTTAGAACTTAAAAGCCTAGAATTTAGTTGATCATATTACCGGTATTCAAATATCCAGCTTATAGGAAACTCCCTATGATTTAAGCAGAAATAGAGAGCTGAGAAAAGGTATTCAATGCAATGTTTTCTTCTAATTAAAACAAATAATGTAATTTCATTCACAGTCTGTCTGGCTCATTTCTGCTATCTTTCTCTGATCTGTTTGCTAGCTTGTGATCTCCAAAGAGCTAATTAGTATATAACTGTTTGCCTGCCCAGAGATAATGAGAGATAATGAGATCTAGAGGTGTTAGTAGACTGATTAATGACACCTAAACATCAGTAGTTCAACTTTGAGGAGATTAAGTCTGTCTCTTTGTGTGTGTTAATCTTCTTTCCCCATTCTCATTCTGATCCTGTGCTTACAGTTTAATAGGTAGGGCCATCACATGGATTTTTAATAAAATGGAATACTCAACATCAAGAGCATGCTGACAGTGGAGTTATGCCTCCCTCTCAGTTGAGAGTGTTTTTGTCATATTTTTCTATAAATCATAACGATATGGTATGTTGTGAAAATGTTTAGCCCTTTTGGAAATATGCACTACAGTAGGCTATGCTGTTTGAGAAATGGGTGGAAATGTAGCTTGCTACCTCAATTTTGCCACAATATTTGGAAGGGGTAAACAAATGAAATCTTTGAAATTTAATATTTCCTTGTCAAAAGGCATGAATGATGTATTGATTCTGATGTAAAATGAAAGTGATGCAAACTTGCAGAGGATACAATGTCCTTATAGGGGATGCCATTCTATTACATTGTGGGAACTTTAACATGGCACACGGTGGCACAAATTTCGGAACCATTCTTGCTGAGAGGGCGAATCTTTATCAGTTCTGCAGAATAATTACCTCCCAATTTAAGCATAGATTAACCCCGCATGGACACCCAACGCAACAAAAGGGGAGAGAAAGAAAGTTCAGCGTATTGATTTTGTGACGCAGATGAAAAAGGAGTCCAAATGTATAGGCTTTGTGTGGAGCCCTGTTTTGAAGCTCCGAGATGCATTCCTTTCTTAGTTCTGCCTAACAAGCCTCCTTTGTTTGATAATCCTGGGGTTCTTATTCCTTGTGTCTCTTATGCAACTTATGCTATCTTCAAACATAAAGTATGGGACGTTCAACCTTTAAAAAAGATGCCTCTATTGATACTTCAGCCACCCCCCCCCCCCTCCAGTTCCCTCCAACTTTCTCTTTTGGAGGGGGATCAGTAGTTCCTTTATATTGTATCGTGAAATAAGTGATGTGAATATCAGCAAGTTCTATTTTTGTATCTCCTACATCAAGAGAAAGGAATAGATTTATCTTGTGTGGGTAAAATATCAATACATATCAGCAATTTGTAACGCAACCAATTCTGACTTCCTACAAGTACTGCACAAGGATGTGCTGGTATTAAATGAAGGGGAACAGATTGTGTGCAGTTTTGATAACATATTTCTTGGAAACCACGAGGCAGCATTTCCTGGTTTATTACAGGGTAGTACTAGAAAGAAGAGGAAAGGAGATTAGTCTTGATCTACCAGTCTCCACTATCAGGGTGACAGATTAGACAGTAAATGAGAATAAATCTTTCTAGACATCATATTTGGGGGGATCTTTTCCCTGTACTAAAAGGTTCTTGTTCACATGTGTCTTCCTCTTTAGGGGGAAAAGGAACTATTTTAGAAGTAGGTACTTGTGAAAAGGCTCTTAACAAAAAAAAAAATCAATGTCTGGGGCTCCCTCGTTTTTTTCTTCTTTCTGTTTCACAATTGTCCTCTTTGATATACAAAATACCACAAAACAATTCAGATCTCCCTTTATCTATGGAAATGGATCTTTAAAATAATTATTTGCTGTCTAGTAGTAGTAGTCATTCTAAATCCATTGGCCATTGAAGTTAACCAGCCTTGGTTTTCTTCCTTCCTATGACTAACTAGACGTTCTCCAGGTACCCCCCTCCCTCCCCCCTCTTGCTTTTATGGAAACCGCAAGCTAATTTTGCTGGATTTACCGACGGATCTTTGACAGACCGATGGTGTCATTTCCCCTGCACCTGCCAAGAGTGTAGGCAATGCGGCAACTAAGAATGTAATTAATTGCTGGCTTATACACCCTTGGCTTACCAAAATTAGCATAGGTCTAAAAAAATAAATCTGTTTGTTTACATCCCGTCCGTTTTCTCTTTTTCTTCAATAAAGATACAAAAAAGGATTCGGGGAAGGTTTTATAATGCACCATCATTGAATGTTGAATATAGATGAGAAATGTATGTTGTTAGCATGGAAGTAGATTTGATGAAATTAAGTATTATATGAATATTCTAATATCAGGGTTTTTACCCTAAAAGTTTGTTACATTTGAACAAGGGTGTTTACCAATTCATGGCGCTTTAATGTGCACGTAACATGCTACGACCAAACGAGACGTCTGTTATTATTTTTTACCACCCAAGGCCATCTCAGCGCTCATCATTGCCACATCCCCACATCCCGGCGAGAATCATGCATTTTTCATTAGCAGTGCGCAGTCGTCACTCTGAGGATGTAAACAAATGTCTTTGACGCAGGTTGAAATAGAGTGCGTTGGGGGATGGGGATGCCTGTGTTACATGCATCTGTACGTTATGTCTTTGGAAGATTATTGATTGTAAGGGAATGCGTGTGTATCGATGGACTGCATATGGCGGGCAACTGGGTTTGTTTTGTTTCGTATTCCTGCACTATTGATTGCTTTAAAAGCAAGCTACTTTCTACAGCACATGAAGATAAACAGTATAGTAGACTTGGCAGGGTGCCCTTTTGCTTCTCTCTTTTGTTCATGTTCAGGCGAGCGTCATAACCAGACACTTGTTTTTATTTCGGCAGCCAATCAGCTTGCAGGATATCGTCACACCTCCCATTGAGCTTGAACCTCAATCTACAAAAAACTCGTCCGTCATCAGTGGATGAACATTAATGCCGAAATATGAAACCGAGTCACAAGTCTTTTAGTTAAAGATAGAACCCTTTTCCGCTTACGGCTTTACTCCCTCCTCCACATTCTATATTTTAGTGCATGGAGGACAAACCATTGCCGTTGAGCAGTCCTTGCAGTGTGCCTTTTTCAGAATACCCGGCATTGCCGATCAGAAATCGAGACGTGAAGCTCTGACTGCACGAGCGATTGTTCATTCCTGCTTTTGTTGCTTTGTGAAACATTTGTGAAACAAGAAGATTTGATTATTTTGTCTTGGAGATTTGAAAAGTTGAGATCGCAGATAGAGAGATGCTAAAGCTTAATCTCAGATCAGAGAAGGTAGGATTAATTAACTGATTTCATTTGATTTGCCTGTAATTGATGTTCATCATTTATTGAATACTTCATTTTCAGTCTAGAACCTTTTATTTTCTTTCTACATGTGAGCTATTTCATAGTGGAACGTGTCCCGTATGACACATGCCATTTATTTATTCATTTCAGAATGAAAATCTCTTTATGCCCATTTACCAACCATTTTTCTTTTCTTTCTGGTATATTACTAAACATATATCAAGAGATTTTTTCAATTCTGGATGAAATTTATGGGAAAACTGTCACATGTCTAATAGGACACATTGTACAGACCCCCTCCCATGTTTGTAAACAATAGGATGAGGGGGGGGGGGGGAAGATTCACTTCACAGCATCTAGTCACATGCTAGGTCTGTTTTTATTGTTGCTTGAGCAACTCTCATCTACCCATACCTCAATTTAGGAGCACAAAAGAAGCTATCGTTTGTTGCTTTAGAGTAGAGTTGAGATGCTAGCGGTTTGGCAGTGAGCCAAATTCGTTATGCGGTATAGGCGCCTTTTTATTTGGTTCAAGCAATACAACATCCACACTTCTTCACACTGTATGTAGGCATGTCCCCTTTTTAAATCCTTTCTTTGAATGCAAAAGTGAAACCAAAATTTAAGGAATTCCAGTGCTATTGTAACAAAAACCTGTGGTTATTTCCAATTTACATTGAAATGCATGGTCTGAAAAGGAAAGCAAACCACCTCAGAATCTTTGTTGTCAAACAGAGGAGAGATCTTGTCCTCCCCTTCAGTGTAAAGAGACTAAAATAGTAGACTACTATGCTTGTAATTTGGCGCATTTTCCCCTAAATACACAAACCCCCATAGCACTAGGGTTTGTTGTGTGTGTGTGTCTGTGTTTTGAGTAGTAAGCATAGTGTAGTGTGCCAAATATGGAAGTTTATGTGGTGTGAATGGAATGAAAAGGGTGTGGTAGGAATAAATCCTCAAATTCCCCAATATGTTGTGAAAAAGGAGGTGGCAGAAACACAGGCAAATGGGGAAGGATTGCTCAAAATGCAGAGTTATTTACTTCTGCAAAATATACATACAGATCTTGGTTAATCATGTTTTGAGTTGACCAAGTAGTAACGAGCTTACATCTGTTATGTGCTACATGTTGATTGTGTATGATAAACGAAAGTCCATGACGAATTTACTTTTCCACAATTCCTCAACGGATAAAAAATGGACACGTCGGTCTATGTTTTCCTTTTTTAAAGTCATATTTCATGCAGAAGTAATAGGGATGTTCAATTATTCATATGTACACAGTAACACACAGGCGGTCGGGCCATGCTCGATGCAAATTTCCTCTCTTGATTTGCATATGAGTCAGCCTGAGTCTCGTCTCGTCTCCTAAGGGGGAGGAGGCAGATAGCTGGTGTATTATCAAACGGATTGATGGTGATCAAATTAGAGAGAAGGAGAGAAGGGGGAAGGAGACGAATCAGGGATGCGGGGGAAGTAACATGAAGGGAAGAGATTGATAAATAAAGACTGGAAAATCCAGAAGACAGGGGGTTTGGGGTTAGGAATTATTGATGCAGGAGAAAATGTAATGGAGCAAAGAGGGGGAGGGAGGGAGGATGTAGATTATAGTAAATGGAGGGGGGGGGGGGGGGGGTAAGGGCAGATGCTAGGAGGACACAGAATCTTGCAGCAAGAGGATGTTGAGTCTAGTATTTTTCCAGGGCGGGTTCAGGAGGAGGGCACCCGCTAGAGAGGTTTAATCCACTGGGATTTACGGCGACATAATACATGGCGGAGATGGCATACAGGTCTTTTTTTCAGTGAATGAAGGAAGCTTCCAATTGTAGGGCTGGATGCTGTGTTGACAGTCGTGACTGGGCTAAAAAATTATTACTACGACAAGAGTAGTACGAGGTTGTAATGTTTACACACTTTTTCCTCGCAAAATCCCCACCCTCTTTCTGGTTGATTCTATCGTTTGCCCACTCGGTCACAGGTACTTGATAGAGGCCTGGCAAAAGATAACGAAACACGAAAGACGTCCTTCATATTAGTCCAGTGGATTGTTGGGTAAATTTGCGGACCAAAGTAAAGTTTAACAACCAATGGTAGATCGGCCCATGAATGGGTAATTCCTTGAATCTTAAAGTATATTGACATTTTTGGGGTCACAATGAACTTGACTTTTAAGTGGAAGAAAGGAATAATTGCACCAAGACTTTTTCCAGAATGAAATTCTTTTGTCATTCAGTTATAAAAGTTAGACTTTCATTTGTCTACAAAATGAGCATGACTTTTTGAGGCGATGGAAAGATGGCCCATCAATTAGCTTCTGGTTTAAAAATGTATACCTCCCAAAACAAGAATCTGATCCAATTAATAAATGTATTAATGTTGCATGTGAAATGACAGTTGCTGTAGGCATCAATTTAGGGTTAAACTTCATGCAAGGAAGGAATATGACATGTGGAACCTGTATATAACAGGTGACAACAAACATGGAAGGAATGTACTCTCTCTTGTCAGGTTTAGGACACAAACTAGATTCTTTTGAGGTGAACCTGTCAAAAGTAATATTTCTTCCTTTCATAATAGGGTCACATTCAGGCAATTGACGAGGTTAGAATTTTGAGCCGCAACCTGTTAAGAATATATCATCCTGGGGACAGGAAATTCTTCCCGGCCTGATCCCGATGCAGAAAAGTAGCACATGCTTCTCCGAGGCCCCGAGCTATTCACATAGGATGTACAAATTAAACCGAAGAACCCGATTGGTTAACTTGAACTCTACCCAGGGTAGATGACTTTTTAAAAGTTAAGATTGGCTCGGCAGTCTGTGAATGATCCGACAAGTAGGTGTGGAAGCACTTGCAAGAACTGCTGCACTTTTACGCCGGACTCGATCAAGTTTCAGAGGATACCATTTTGTAATACTTTCTTCTGACAGGCACTTTCAGACTCCCTTGTTTTAGGGGCAGAAAGAGAACTGTTTACCTTGATTTCCAGTGGCAATTTGTAATTTGGATTTAATATTTTGTGACTATGTGGACACACTTGAAACAGGAGGATGAGATAGAGCTAGAGCCTGTAGGGGTACAGGAGGTACAAGATGTAGAAGAGGTAGAAGAAGAGGTATGAATTGATTGATTGATATCATATCTGCTATTATAACTTTTCCCTTCTCAATATTGACTTCATGCTCGTACTGTTTAACCAGACACTGTTCCGTGCATGAAACTTTCAAAATTTGCAAGTGGCTATGATTCTGAAGTTTCCTGCTACGAAAACGATTGTCCATAAACAATTCCAGAAGTTTGTAGTTGTATGGTAGCCTGAAATCTGAGCTTTTGAAAACGGGGAATTACGTAATGATTGATCCTTCAAATTGCGTGAAGGGAAATTGCTGAATAACCTTTTGTATCTGATAGGTTGATGGAAAGGTTAATCTGAAATTAATTCACATCATTATATATGGTCTTTTATATGTCTTACGGTTCGGTTTCATGCAATTCTAAGAACCCTTTTCCTTTATTATTCTAAAGTAAGGCAAGGCAGGTTATGTAACGGGAAATATGTGGGTAAGCTGGGTATTAAACTGTGGCAGAAACTCTATGAAATTCAGTGAGCGTTTTGCAGTGTGCCCAGACCAAAGTGACTCGAGCTCGTTTGATCCATATTATGTAAACAGAAATGTTGTATTTTTCCATAACAGAGATTGGGGAGGGGCTTCTGGTTGTCAATCAAAAGAAAGAAAAACCATTACTCTCTGATTGAAATAAGTCTAGACACATTAAAATCTTTATAATCTCAATAGATACTCCAAAATCTCGACCAGATACTAAGAGAGTTTAAAGCGAGGGGTTGATTAAACAAGAAATGAACTTGGGGATGTGCTGAATATTGCAGCTTTTGTGGTTTGTGTCTATGTTTATGTGAGTGATTTTGATTATGTAATGTTTAGTACACAAACAGTCACAAGCATGCTGGAGTTACTCATAAGCTTAAGAAGGTCTGGATTAAAAAACCCCCTCAGACCTGGATTATGACTCGTTAATCTTATTAATCCGTGTCTGCATATAGCTGCCTCATTAACAACCATAACATGTCTGGCGATACGAGGGCTCTATGTCCTTGAGGGAATGCGACCAACTGTTCCTATTCTAATTAAAGGTTAATACCGAAGCACTGAACTAAATTGCAATGTGATGAGGTTCGGCGCATTCTTACTGATCATATTCACCTTGTTAACAATCGGCGCTGATGCTGAAAGCTTTTATTTGCAATTGTTTCAATTGCATGGTTAGTCAATCAAGTTAATGTAGGCTGAAATGATACTTGATTGTTCTATTAACTCTCATCATAGCGATATTTTAATGATCAATTAATGATTGAAATTTGTTTTCAATGTCAGGATGAATTTGCCTGAAGGTCATGCATTAATTATCTCACATTGGTTAAATTCTAATCACTGGCATGCATACACATGAATGCTTTTCTCCTAGAATAATTGTTATGAACGATCTTCATTGTATACTGTGTTCATACATGTACATTGATAGTTTCTTATTGAGCTGTGAAACCGTGAAGGCCACCTGTTTTAAAACGTAATGAACTTGTTTTCATCACAACAGTGATGGTTCCAGCTGTTACAGGACCACAAGGGTCACTTCAAACAATTTTAATGTTTTTGTTTTGATCGCCTGATGGGCAGGCTGTACTTTGATGCGATGAATGTTCTTTCGTGACGGTATTTAATTTTGTACAGCTTCTTGCCAATAGATTCCTCATTCTGTTTGTAAAACAACGCCTAGAGCCGCTTGCTATTTGTCTCTTGTCTTTGCGTCATCCATCTGATGTCCCAAATAGCTTTCTCTATCTGACTATGACTGGAGGCTCCATAAGATGATCTGCTACAGATTAAAGATGAAGCCTTTTGGAGGCCTAAAATGTACAACCTTGCATAAAATTAGAATCTATAATCTAATGTACTTCAAAGTAAATGACAGTTTCACATATGATTCATGTTTTATTTTGAGTCAAGTGATGAGTTGATCACACAATTAAGCTCTTAACAAATAATAGCTCATTTCCTCATTTGGTACTTTGCTTTGCTGGCTTTCCAATTTTGGAACACTTTCAGAAGTTTATAACAAAGCCATCATTTAGTTAATTTGCATCGTTATGCTAACAATAGCAAGGGATTGTTCCCATGCTTGAGATACTATAACCTGTAGAATTCTTTAATGTATGACAAGTTTAATGACCCTTTTTTGTTGATTATAAGTATGTTAACTTGATATGGGGAAACTACACTTCACTATTATGGACCTGTTGTCTCTAATTCATGAGGGGAATATTTGCAGGTTTCCCCGAAAGTTCCTTTTCCTTGGACTGCAATCTATACGCATTAAAAAACTGTAGGTTGTGAGAAACTGAAACATATAACGCTCTTTCATCTCATAACAAGGAAATTGAAGACGGAGAAACACGATGTTATCTTCAACATTTGTCATGAGATATACTCGTCACTTACATCCTTATGCATGGTCTTACCATTAAACATTCTTTGTTTTTATTTTTATCTCTACAGGGTGAGGTTACTCTGCCTCTGAACGGAGTGTTATCTAATGGGAACGCCCCCTCGGATGATGTAAGTATACATGTAGACAAAGTACCTTCCTTTCACACTAACATGAAACCCTTCAAGTTGACAAGTGATTACTTTTTTTTTAAGGAGGATAAGGAAGTAAGGAGAAGGATCTTACATTGCAATTGATATTTGTAAGGATGCTTCAAGTTATTTCAAGATATTGTTTATAATGGGAACTTTTATCAACAAATACCTCTTCCTCGTTTACGAGTGCCAAAACAAAAACAACATACAGTCAAACCTGTCTACAGCGACCGCCCAAGGGAAACACAAAAAGTGGCCTTTGTAGACAGGTTCCTTTAGTACATGTTTCAATGAGAAACCATTTTCAAGGGAAACAAAAAATGTGCTTGTTGTAGACAGGTGGTCACTAAAGCAGGTTTGACTGCATAATGATGAGAGTATAAACTGAATCTTATTTTGGAAACAGATTCTAGATTCACATGGATGATTGTTGTGTGATCATTGTTATGTGATATGTTTATAATTAAATGAAAATCTCTTTTGTCTTCCTTCCAGACCTCCAATCTCGGGAATATTTCGAAGACCTCCAAGAGTTCCAAGAAGGAAGATGAGAATGTGGAGCGTGGTAACTGGTCCAACCATCTGGACTTCATCCTCTCCTGCGTGTCCTACGCCGTGGGCCTGGGCAACGTCTGGAGGTTCCCCTACCTCTGCTATTCCAATGGAGGGGGTAAGAAACTTTGTCTCTTTCTTCCTTGTTAGTTCGAGGGGCAAGTCCAAGCTACTTGTCCCATACCAATAATGATGACGAATTCAAAGAATTTCATTGACCAAAAAAAAACACCATGCAAAAATATTGAAATGAAAGAAAAGACAAAACATATTACATCAGAAAACAGTTTCAGATTAATAATTACCATACTGTTTAAAAATTGTCCCCAAAACAAAAACAAATTTATATCCGATGACTGAATCAAACCGATAGCCCTACTAGAGCTTATAATTATTCAAAGCTAAACATATTTTAATGTCGATGTGTGCATGTATGTTCACAATTCAATGAAACAATTTTTTAAAAGGTTATGTATGGGACATTGGACTTTTTCATAAACAGTTTGGGAATTTTGTAATCGAGAGCTGTGGATGTTTGAATCTATCTCTGGATTGTACATGACCTACTATTCGAGAAGTTCATGCGAAACTAGCACAAGTCCTCTATTTTGATGTTGTCAGCGAATTCTGCAGTAGAAAGACTGCATTCTCAGACTCAAGAGTACAATGCCCATTTACGCTTGGTGATGAATAGGAGTGGCTATTTTTAAGGTTTTTGCACATGGAAAGTTTTTTTTGGTAAATGCTGAAGATGCACTTCTCTTTTTTAAAGTTCATTGACAAAGAGTTTGTAGATTTAGGAGAAATATCAACAATGTTGTAAAGTTCAAAGTCAGTTGAGTTGCACAATTAAAATGGGTCACGGAAAGATTGTTAATGCATATTTCTCGGTTTGGGGGGAAAAGAATGATCTAAAAAGAGTTCCAAAAGAAAATGATTTATGATTCGGTAGTAAAATTCCTGACTTCGTCATGTTTGCCTGGGTGGTGTGATGAGAAAACACAAAATACTACCTCGTGAGGTGCTTTCAATCTGCTTTCAGTCTGCTTTCAGTTAACAAGTAGAATTACAGGCACTTCCTTCTTCCATTGAAGTGGTTATGAATATTCATTAGGGGAAAAGCAGTTATGAAATGGGCTTGGTCGTTGCTAGTCTGGTGGCACAGACTCATGTGCTGAATGTTGAGGAAGTGATGAATAGGGGGGCTGAGGTAAAGACTAGCTACATGTAACTTTCATGTGACTCTACTTTACATGTAATACCATTGTATGTTTTTTTCCCAACAATGTACCCCTTATGGCTTTTCTTGCTTCCAGTAATTCTTTAAATCTCATTCAAGCTCACTTGGGATAATCAAATAAGGTTTACACCTAAAGACTAATTACACACAAAAAAGAATCCTTTGTTTGATATTGATTTGTGGAGTAGGCGGTGCTTTCTCTGGGAGTTGCCGCGCTTTTGTTGATCTCTATAGCAGCCGTGTCTCTCGCTGTTGTTCTGCTCCTACAAACACTGTCTTAGATTCTGGTCGCAATTGCGTGGATCTCGAGGATTTGGTCTATTGGATGAAAAGGGAGGGAAAGAGAGGAAAATAAACAACTGTCTGAATTTATTTGTTAGATGTTTGTTGTGAAATGAAGGTGTGTGTAGGATGCAGGATTCTTACATGTAAATAGAGCAAATTTCTATTTATATCAGGTTTTATCAACCATTGCTTCCCTATGTTTCCTTTTCATTGACTATCCTGAAAAAGAAAGATCAGTTGTTAACCTGAACAATGGAAAGGAATGTCCATGTGAACCAGTAGTTAGTCCCATTCTATTCACCAACTTGAATCTATAAACCCTGAGAATTTATGTCCTAGCTTAATGTAACATTCAAGAACTAAACATTGGTATGGAAATGGGCATTTGAGGAAGTGCCGTGTCTTATATTGTCAGTTATGAATAAAACGAACACAATATGAAATGTAGGACGTGCGTATCTCATGAATCTTTTGTTTGGCTCGCCTAATACTACACTTCCTGCTCTAGTAGTTTTCACTACAGGTTCTAGACATTCCACAACTATAGTTTCATTTCATGAAAATACTACCTCATGTCCACACTCCAGTTCGTTCCTGCGCACATCCAAACAAACTACCAATATCACAAAGACACTATATTGTATAAAGTTGAGTTAGAGAAAAAAAGTAGGATGTGAATTCTTATGTTTGTACTCTCATACCCCAAGAGAGGGTCGATCGAGTCAATAAAATCTTACAATCTCAATCCTGGAGAGCAAAATAGAGCACAATGCACATCATTTTAACCTTTAAAAAACACACACAAGAAAACAAACAAATAAAAAACAGACAAGTGCATTTTGCTAGACAAACAATTTGTTTACTTACAGTGCCACATGGGGTAGTAGCACCAGATGGGGCATGCATTCATAACAGAAGCACATGGCCCGGCAGAATACTAGCATGAACATTCGGACTGACAGAGAAAGTCACCTTCACACTCGGACGCACATGCCATGTGGCATCAGATGCTGGGTCCCAGTTGGTAAATTCAGAGGCCACTCACAAAAAGAAAAAAAATGGTAATCTCTGATTCCAGGTAGAATGTGACAAAGATAGATTTAGTTCGATTGACCCCCTCAATTGTCCAGATGTGAATAGTGCTGGCAACGGAAGGGAGGAAAATGACTTTAAAAAAGTAACCTTTTTATTGAGGGGGAGAAATCCTTTGTGATATGAGTTCTTTAGATTGGGTGGAGCGAGGTACTAGTAGACAATGAATGGATAATAGGGCATACTTGGCATACCATGCCCTGGGTCAGGCAGTCAGGAGTGAAGATTTTACTTGCTTAAAGATTACTTGATCTTTAAATTTATTTCATCAAGGGAAATGCATCAATTTACATGTACTGTATGTACTATATAGGCTCTACATGCAAGAAGAGAAAGCAAATCAGGTGCAAAATGTTAATGATGGTTTATTGGTAGAAGTAGGCACACAGTTTTGAAGGCTTTTATTGATACAGAGAAGGGGAAAGTAAGGAAGAAAGAAAGAAAGAAAAAAGTTATCCTCTGTAGTTTTCCTTGAAATTAGGAAATACATCATCTGGAACATCATGTTTATTGTAAATACGGGGATAGATTAATGGGAATTTAGAGCAATTAAAGATTTATTCAAAAAATAAGAAAGAATTGTATCATGCTTGGTCTGGAATGAGATCATGTCATTAACCTAGGATGTGACCCTGGAAAGGGTCAACCTAATGATAGGTCAAGCGTCTGAAAATTTTCCGCTTCCAGCTACCCAAGTCTTTTCACTCTCTCAAGGTTTCAACTCCGAAAGGGATATTATATAGAGGAGGTATTATGGAGAGGGGAAGATATTGAATAGTATTGGTCATTGATTAAGTGTGTGTTGATGAGGGAAGTGTAAACTGCAAAGCCAATTTTGGAATGAATGACTTGGACATAAAATGTTCAAAGATTAGAAGACCCCCTTTTTTGGGGGGGGGGGGTTGAAAATAATACTTAAGATTGATTCTGATTGCATTTGAGCTTTGAGAGTTCTTGGGAGAGTTTATTTCATAAGTTCCATTGGCACTAAAAAAATGGACTCTCTTAAAATTGTATTTGAAAGTGCTATTTCAATTACTATGTTAGGGAAATGTTAGGAATCGTAAACATTTCAAATATTGAGACTTCTCGCTATCGGTGCTGAAAGGAATGCTACACCACCATACATGCTGATGCTATGTGCCTATCAGTCAGGAATGCTAGCTAGTCATGTACCAGTTTCGTAACCTGTCTCATGATCTCACAGTAGATTACGGACAGGTATAACAGTTGAAATAATAGTCTAGCAACAAGTATTGTCCTTGTCGGCAAGGGGGGCAAACATGAGGGGCAAATATACCTAGGGTGAATACTTATGTAATGCCCATTTGAACTAAGCCTGCTTTATTCCTAGCCCCATGTATACCTTGGGGTAGGCCCTCAAGCCTCCTCCTGTGAATTGAACTGCAGAAATCAGAGCGGGCTTTATCATTAGCCAAGGCTGTCTGGTCAGGTCTAGCCCTGCCTAGCCCTGCTCCTTGTGTGTCCGGCCAGGCCAGGCCAGCATGATATTCAAATCAATCAATTTATTTATAGTCTCAAGTTGGTGTGGATAACTGGATATGCTTTGGTTATTTTCAAAGAATCTGTCTGGGCATTCATGTGGCACACTGCCCTGGTGGTGGAAAGTGTTATTTGCAGTAGGACCGCAGTATTATTTCTTGCTCCATTTCCACTTTATTGAAAGCAAGTGATATGAGACTGAGAGACCGACCTTGCCCTCTGCATACCTGAACACAAATATTACACATTTTTGGAAGTTTAGTTTAAAAAAAACCCACCAACATCAAGACATCCTATCTAAAAAACCAACGGATTAGTACATTTAAAAGTTCAAACCTTGATCAGTCCTGCTGTGATCTTTTCAATCATGCAGTTGCAATCAAACAGGCCTAATAAAGAATGAAGATTGAAACATTTTTAGAGATAAATTTTATTTGAGGGGAAAATGAATAAAACTCAAACTTTCTAAGCCACACATGCATTGGTAGAGACTTTGTTTCCTATTTCCTCAATCTGAATATGATTACAGAGTGAGGGTGTTAGGGTTGCTGAGAAAGCAGAAAGCACTCCATGCAGTTGGTCTAGAAATCGGTGAACTCGTCCAGATTTCTACTCTCTTTTTCGGTGTCCTTGAGAGAAAATTGTTCTAAACGAAACTCTTTTACAGGAGATGTTGAAAAAACGTCAAAAATCTTATTTGGCAAGCACAGAAATGTATCTTTCTACAACAATACCAAACATAGAAGGTAATGATCTTGAACATTTTGATTGGGAATCATGATCTAAAATAAGAATAACAATGCTGATTGTTTAGGATTCAACCTGCAGTCTGTAATGTGAGACTATCCACCATAGAGCTAAGTACTTTTCCACCATCTGCCCCGTCATGGTATGCTAAGACAATTAAGACTCACCCAGTCAAATTGGCTACATGTCTTCTTCCATGCCCCGATTTCGAAATGCAATTTGGGGCAGTTTACGATAAACACAAGTGTAAAGCATGAACATGTATGCGCAGGTGACGTTTTGACTTTGAACTGTCTAATGTACATTCATGACTTAATGCATTATCTTTATGACATGTCATGTTATACAACTCCATTAAGTGAAGGAAAAAGTAACTCTTCCGGTATTAAAACAACTGGCTGCTATTAAAGTTATAATTAGGTATTCAAACTCGTTCAAAAAAAGAAGGATATTTTATGCAGTTATGAAAGATTTCTATAGTCTTGTGTATATTTACTCCATCAGGGTCATTTGAAAGTTGGTTCAATCTGCTGGTATGATATTGCAATATTCTGTGCCTCCTTCTCTATCCAATGACAGTATCGGGTTATGTTTTCAGAGGTCATCCCCACTCTTGTAAGTACAAGAGATGCAGAAGAACCTGCATCTTTGCTGTAGTGTTTCATCATGTTACAGTCTTTGTAGACGGTCCATTCGCTGTGCCAGACATGGTGCAGATATTCATGTGTTTAAGTAAATGGGAAATAAGTAGAAGAAAGGCAATAGACAATAATTGAATATGCACTTGTGTGTCTTTCATATCCTTCATAGAAATTGGATTAGAGAGCTTTTATCACGTTGAATAGGAATACACAGAAAGAAAGCTAGTAGACAATATGTTACATACTTGAAGGGACTTGTATGTATGCCCTACTTCGACACACAAATTATGTTCTGTCTGTATGGCTGGGGAAAGGAGTCCCATTTGAATCCAGTAACACACAAAATGTGTCTGTGATACGAGGTGCTTGAAAGGCATCTAGTTGTAAACAAGGGCATCGGAGCACTCGGCTAGATGCCTTGTGAGCACTCCTTTCTCAGTTGCCCCTCAGGCATCCTGAATCGGGGACGATGACGTATGAGGGAGATTGCTTGGTGAAATAGTAATGAGAATGAGAGGGTGCAAGTGACATTCGAGTCAGATACAACTGTGAGTGTGTTTGTCAGTGTGAGTGTGTGTGCGCGATGTAGATGCATCTCAGTGTGATGTCGGTCAGTTGACTGCATTATGACAAGTGCTGATGCAAGACAGGAAGCGAGAAGTGGAGGAATGACTTCACATATTTTAAATTATTGATGAGGTCCCGTTTGTCTAGCACCACCACCGGCGGAAAGTGGACTTTGGAAGAGAGGTTGGGGGGAAAGAAATGGCGCATATATGGCGTGTACTCTAACAGACTGGGAGAGAGGTTGCTAATTATTCCATCGGGTGATCTTGCCTCTGTCGAGCAGTGGTGCTCCTTACCCGCCCTGCTTCTGTTGTTGAAGTGTTGTAGCAGTGTCCTCGAAGGGCACTTGGGCTAGGAAATCATATTCCATTATATGCAATGTATTGATGAGTGGTATGCCCATGTCCTATGCAAATCCCAACAAATCCTCAAGGCATTTGCCTTTGACATTTTTACCTACTGGTTTTTGTAATTACAATGCAAAACAATTTCATAACAGTTTGCTTCTGTTGATTGTTTTGTTATACGAACAATGTTTCATCTTACAAAACATGCATGCATGCAAAAAAAAAAATTCTAAAAAAACTTTCCAGCTCCATGAACTAAACTGCAATTTTTTTTCAGATTTATAAAAAATACAAAATTATATAGAAATGAATATACCGTACAGTGTAAAATAATATAAATTAAAATGTACACGAAAAGAACAAGCAAAGATATCGGGTCTATTTCCATGCTGCGGCATTGGCTCTCGAATTTAACCATGTATGACTGTATGAACGTACTTCTGCCTCGGGTGAAATCAATCGTACCCATATTTTATAACTCTCCTTTCTCCATTCTCTCTGTCTTTGCAGGTGCTTTCCTCATCCCCTACATTGTGATGCTTCTGTTTGCTGGCCTGCCCCTGTTCTTCCTGGAGTTGTGCTTTGGCCAGTACTCTAGCAGCGGGCCCATCAGCGCCTGGAGGTCTGCACCCCTCATGAAAGGTCAGTATCCCATTTATATCCGCTCCTTGTGATGTTTGAGCCCTTTCTGCCTCTTTTTGTGACAAAAGGGAGCATGAGACAATTTGTACAAAATATCCCATCTGCTGTAGTAAAGATACGGTAGCCTTTCTAAAATGTAAAGTATTTGCAATCTTCAATGTAAGAACTGGACATGCCTTTCTGAATAATTACTCAGCATACCCTTACTTTCCGATTCTCTAAAATGGCTGTCATATTGCAATACAGGTAGTGATTGTTCTTTTATTAAAAGTAGGGGGGTGGGGATATCCTGGCAGCATCACAGGAATGTTTTGCTGATTCAAGTCACTTGCCCGCTGGCAAGGGCAACCCAATGTTTCTCACAGTCCTAGTGCATGCCCATGTAGACAAGTGATCTGTATGTAACCTGTTGCCATTTGCCCCCTTCGCTCCTCCCTACAGGTGTTGGGTACGGCATGGTGGCCGTCTCAGCCTGGGTGGCCATCTACTACAACGTGATCATCAGCTACACCATGTTCTACATGTTCAAGTCGATGACCACCTCCCTGCCCTGGATCGGCTGCCACCACGAGTGGAACACGCCCTACTGCAGCGAGCTGGTGGACGAGTGCATGGAGGCGGGCGGGATCATGACCCTCAACAACACCTGCGTCAGTCTGTCCAACATGACCCTGGAGGAGATAGACAGCTACAACGTGACCACCGACGGCAACGCCACCGTCTCTTTCCTTGACCCCCTCCAGGAGTTCAGGAGACGCCCCAGCGAAGAGTATTACAGGTAAGCGCCGCACCCTTCACTATCTCTCTCGTTAGGTCCAGGACTTTTGTAAAATACAGTCAAACCTCCTTAGTGACCATCTGTCTACAAAGACCACATTTTTTTGTTTTCCTTGAAAATGGTTTCTCATTGAAACATGCACTGGACGAACCTGTCTACAAGACCACTTTTTGTGTTTTCCTTGGGCGGTCGCTATAGACAGGTTCGACTGAATGAATAATAATCGGTTATTCATCGCAAGCTCTCTGTTGATTATGCATCCAACTTCAACGGAACAGGGTCGTCGTAGTGATTGGAACTTAGTTTAGGGCCTCTGAACATCATTTATTATTTGAGAACTTGAAAAACAATAATAATAATTAAATCAAAAGAGGAAGAACTTCTTATGGAAATGCCTATCATGAATTATTTTCCTGTATTCATTACGTTTTTCCATCTATTTATGACGTTCTACTTTCTTTCATCTAGACATGGTGTTTTACATGACTCCGGTGACATGGGATCATTCGGCTACATCATCTGGCCGCTGGCCCTCTGTCTTCTCCTTGCCTGGACCCTCGAGTTCATCTTCCTCGCCAAGGGCGTCAAGTCCTCCGGAAAGGTAAGTCTTGCCACCACCGTCTGCTCCCTCCCTCTCCGCCCTTTGTCCCCCCCCCCCCCCACTCCTTCCTTCCCATGCCATCCCATTATCACTAAGATCTTGAAATTGGCAGCAGATGTATTTGCAAACTATCAATGCAAGATGGATCTTACTCCTACCGATGGCATGACCAAATATCTCAAGATCTAAAAATTGGCAGCAAACCTGTTTACCAACTGAAATCATACATGTGAAATGGCAATACTTTAGACAAATCTTGCCCCTCTCCCCTCTGTCCCCTATCCATGACACCCCCCAAATCACTAAGATCTGTAAATTGGCAACAGACCTGTGTTCTAACTTATTCATAATTTATGTACACTTCTATAACGAGAAAGAGAGAGACAGAGTAGAAGAAAAAATCCAAAAAATTATAATCACAAGTCAGATTCAGAAACTTAGAGAATTGAATACATTTATAAAATTCTTCTCTTTCATGCTCACTCAAAAGCTGTAGCTGACACCCACTTGTCTGCAATCCTTTCCGATTATAAACACAAAGGGAGATATTCAGTCAGGTTGGGTATAATGCGACAAAGTTGTACTCCTTTGTGACACAGTTCAATGCCAGTCCCCTGCAAAGAATCTCTGCAATCCATTGGTGTCATATCCTATTGAAAACCACCGTGCGTGACAAACTCGTAGTGCGTCATTGACGTTCTCGTCCCCTCCCAACCAAGCGTCGTCATGACCATATGTTCCTCCAATCTTTCCTATTGATTGAGTTATCGTTTCACACTTTGAAGAGAGAAAGAAAATATTAGTTTGTAAATCTCTTCATGAACAATAATACCAATCAGTGCAGAAGGGGTTACTCTACCCTTTTCAATGTTAGAGTTTTACTTTTAGGATTTCTCTTTTAACCATCCAGTCTCTCACTAAGTGAAGAAAACAAACGATAAATCAGGTGTTAATACATAGATAGATAGATCGATTGACAGACAGATAGATTGACAAGACAGACAGATAGATAGATAGACTGACATACAGATAAATGGTTTATTATAAAAGGAAATCATTGCTGCAAACCTCACTTGTATGATGATTTTACAATGATCAAAGCGCATACAAAAAATTGTAATCAGCATTGACAACTATAACGGCTAACAATGAAAAGTATTTTGTATCATATCTCTTAATTAATGACAGAAGGAGAAAGTTGTAATCCTTCTCTAAAACCGTTTTTCACTTTCTTTCTCTTTCCATTCCCAGGTTGTATACTTCACTGCCATTTTCCCCTACATTGTCCTGTTCATCCTCCTGATCCGCGGAATGACTCTGCCAGGCCACATGGACGGAATTCTCTTTTTTATCAAACCGCGATGGGAGCTACTGAAAAATCCCAAGGTAAATATACAACAATATTCAAAGAATATATATATATCTGTCCTTTTCAGTTGTGTTGAATGGAAGTAGAGAGTTGAGGCAAGGCACTCCAAATTCAGAATTGAGTTTTTGATACCATTACCCACAAGTGCCATCTGCATGATGTGAAGTTTTGTGGCTGTAGAACCTGTAGTAATGCAAGAGTTGAATAAAAACACCTTGAAATGTCCCTTTGAGTTATGAAATAGAAAGGTTTTGATTCTATTTGCTCTTCTCTCGATTACACTCACGCAGGTGTGGAAGGATGCTGCCGTTCAAATCTTTTTCTCACTCAGTGCATCGTGGGGAGGTCTTATTACTCTATCGTCATACAATCGCTTTAAAAATAACTGCATGAGGTAAGTTTATCTCCAGTCCTATCTCAAAATCATCTTATCAAGATGTTTTGTTCGGAAAGAAAATGTTGAGATATCAACCAGTACAAGTTTGACACAAAAACACAGGACAACCACAAGATATACTGAAGTATGCATGTAATCCAGATCCTCTTTCACATTTTGATACAAATTGAGTGAAACTTTGCCATCAAATCATTGGCGAATTTGGGGCTCCCAACACTTTAAAGGGGCTTTGAAATATACACCAGATCAGATATCGTATTCACAGTTGCAAGTTGCAAAGACTCAAGTTGGGAAATAATCATGACTGTTGGTATAAAACCCCTCCCAATAAATTTCTCTCATGTTGTATCATCGTTCCAGGGATGCCCTCATTGTACCTTTACTAAACTGCGCTACCAGCATCTTCGCCGGTTTCGTCATCTTTTCCATCATGGGCTACATGGCTCATGAACTTAAAAAGCCAGTCTCCGAGGTGGTCGACGAGCAGTTCGGTCTCGCTTTCATCGCCTACCCCGAGGCAGTCGCTAGGTTACCAATCTCGCCACTTTGGGCCTTCCTCTTTTTCTTTATGCTAATCACACTGGGTTTGGGATCACAGGTAAGTCATCTTTACTTTAGTTTAAGTAGGGTAAGGGGGAATAATTTCAACTTAATTCTACTTTTAACGGCCAACATTACTTGCGAAACCCTTGCTGATTTGGACAACGAATAGACAAATTGATATTAATGTAAATTTTCCTTGAGTATAGTACAGGAGGAATCATTATTTCAGAAAGAAAAATTTACATGTGAATTTGATTCTAAATGTTTGTGTGTGAATTGATGTTTGTAGTAAGAATTGATTTTCAGATTTCTCTGCTTTCTAACTTTTTCATAGTAAAAAAAAAAAAGAAGAAGATTCATAAGAACAAAGATGGTTCATAAAAAGACAAATTTAGAATACAAGGACCAACTTGTAATAGAATATTCGCTTGTGGAGGATTATTCTAGCTTCATTAGTGTGGAGATTTCTGCACCAATGCCAACGTTTAATGATGATTTCATTCTTTTCATTCCATTTTTTACAGCTCTGTATTGTTGAAACTGTTGTTACGTCGATTGCCGATGAATTTAACCTGAGGAAAAAGAAGATCTGGGTTTTGGCAGCATATTGTATTATTGCCTTCTTCATGGGCTTAATATGTGTTACACAGGTAAGCTACAAAATCATTTTATTCCATCTGTTAAAATATAACACATTAATAAACCCCTCAAAAAAACGTTCTGCAATTTAAGTTTAATACTATTATATCTTCATATTGGACATTGGTATCATTGAAAAAGCCTGTTTATGAACAATGATGCCCCATTTGTAATGATTTTGTAATTGTGGACTGTACATGAGGATTTCAAATTAGCCAATTTTGGTAGTGGATGAAAATGTCCTGTATAAACCTTCGGCCTCATGTAATATGTATAACTTATATTTCACATTGATGGTAATTCTTCCAAGACTTTGGATTTAGTACTGGCACCATTCTGCATGTAACGTTCCATTTCCTCTTCTCTCTTTTCTCCCTCTCAGGCGGGTAATTACTGGGTGATCCTCATGGACAAGTACGCCGCCGACTTTGCCCTGCTGATCTTCGGCATGTCCGAGTGCATCGGTCTCGGCTGGATCTACGGAGTCAAGAACTTCACCAACGACATCAGGTCCATGCTGGGCGACAGGATTGTTGACAACGTCCTCTTCAACTGGTGGAAGCTCAACTGGTGTTTCCTGACACCTGCTGTGCTATCAGTAAGTGTTAACAATTTTCCTTTTGCTCGAGATATTCCCACATGATTGTTCCTGTTGTAGGTCCTTCTAGCCCCCTTCTGCTTGCCTTCATGCTTTGATAGAGCTTTCATATTGAGATCATAGGTCCCGTCTTGGTTTCCAGACCTTGTGGTATCGTTGGGCACTGTGTCTTTAAAGCTTCAAACCTGACCTAAAAGCTAAAACTCCCCGTCTTTTGAAAGAAATATCCACCACACCTTCTAGTAGGAATCTAAAGTGAAGGGGTAGACTTGAAGCTCTGTATGATTTTATTTTATAACTGCCTGGATGAAGGGTTCTCTGACTAATTATCCTCGAAAAAGCTGCTAACTTATCTAATGGCCCTCTTTTGTCTTTGTCTTCTGCTCCACAGTTTGTGATGCTGTTCAGCTGGATCTCCTGGGAACCCCCTATGGCTACCGAGACCTACCCCTTCCCCACCTGGGCCCACGCCCTCGGCTGGCTCCTCATCCTCACCGTCATCATGTGGATCCCTCTCTACTGGATCTACGCCTTCTGCAAGGCCAAGGGCGACACCTTCAGGCAACGCCTTAAGGCCATGGCCACGCCCGAAGACTCCTGGGGACCCATGGTCATGTCCAACCGCCGACACGCCTGGGAGACGCATAATCAGAACGGAACCAGCATGGGCGGTCAGCTCCATCTGGACGACGAGGTCAAGTCATCGCCAGGACTATCCGCCGTCTACGTCCCGACCAGCACGACGGAATCGGTTTAGTCACACTGAACAAACTTGGGTGACTTGAACAAAACACAGACTCCAAACTCTCAAGACAGGAACGAGTGCCCTTGTACTTTTATCTTTGCAATTGAAATAGTGGAATGGGAATTGGAAGTTTATTAACTGTTCAGTTATATGTGAGGATGCGCTGACCCTATTATTATACCTTCTGCTGAATCTATGGAAGGTGAGACGCAAGACGGCTCATCGCTCGGCTGATCGATGCCCAGTTGTTGCCGACATTTGCCGAGCTGTTGTGATCAGGAGAAGCCACGTGCAATGATTCGCAAACGGGAAGAAACGGTGAATACAAAAGTTGGAAGATATTGTCCAAAAATGGAAGCAACAATTGAAGCTCTTTTCATCCCTGGTCCAACCAGTAAGCTTCGCTGTGCTTTCGGTCGAACCGAACCGCTGGGTCGTTTTTAAGCAGGATGGAAAAATTGCTTCTCGGCCAGTATTCATTACAGGGTTTTGCTACCTCTTAGTTTTCTCTCATCATTGTATGCTTATTTGGTAATGATAATATACCAAATCTTACCGAATGGAGCTTTCATCTGCTTCTTGATTCAACATTAAGCGATCCGCTACCGCTAGACTGGCCGTGTCGACCTGCCGTAAGTGACCTGGCAGGAAGCAGTCTGGAAAAGATCAACTCATAATTACAAGAGCAGGAGAGAAACTTTGAAATATTTTGAGCAGGGTGATTGTAAACAATATTTATTTTTCCAATTTTTATTTCAATTTTCTTCATTTTGTGTGCGATAATCATTTGCCCCCTGAAATTTATATCCTACATTTTCTTCTGTAAATAAGTATTATGAAGAAAATTTCCCCTCCTTGACTTTAAACAAAAAAATATAAGTGCCTCTTTTATGTGGTAGCATTCATATTTTTCTATCATTATACTTCGCTTTTATTAGTAGCAAAGTAGTATTGGAGAAGAAAAAAAGGTTTAAACATTTAGATACAGTTTTTAGTCGTGAAGCTCAGTTGCATTGCAAAAAATAGGTATATCGAAATTGTTCCTTTGCATGTTGCTTGTGTTTGAGGCAAATGCTTATTTATTGGAAAAGAAAATTATGGAATTGAGAAAAATTATATATATATATATTTATATATATAAGACGTAGAAGGATGAAAGAAAATCCCTCCATACATTCCAAAAGAATTGTAGTTCTGCCATCTTTTCTGGTTTTTAGCAGCCTAGGTATGGATTTGAAAATAGTTTTAAGGAAATGATTAACCTCGAGATTCGAGAAGGAAAAAAATAGAAGAAAAAAAATGTCCAAATAGAACATACAAAGTTACACATGTAGGATGACAGTGTGTGTGCCCATTTGTAAATAAGTGTATTATATTGTGAATAGTTGTATATAGAAACATGGCAATTTTGCTGCGAGAGATGGAAGAATACTTACGCTCAGGTTCATTATTAACAAAGAATATGAAACATGAAGTCTTGTTACATGTCCCCATCTGAAAGCATTGGGTATTCAAGTCGCTACTCATCATTTATTAGATCGAAAGGATGCCAAGCCATGTGGCTCATCCCTGTATTAATTTGCAATACAACCATCCGGCATCAAGCAGCTTTTCACGCAGTCCAAAACTTAAAAATATTTTCATGTCCAGTTTTTTAGCAGTTACTTTTAGATGTACGTGAAGAGTAAATTTGAGCAGGTAACGTGATAACCGATTTGGTTCGTTTTCCATGAAGAAAATGTATTGAGAATCGTGCAGCTCTTGGTTTGTTGTAAAATGCAAATGTAAATGCTGCTTATCCATCAGAGGGGTCGAAAGGTCAACGGTTGGTTAGAGCTGAATCGTTTCTGATTTACAGCTTTGCATGGCCAATTTGCTGGCCATCACCTTATAGCGATTTTCAACCTTCCGCTATCTTACCAGGTGCCTTATTTTGCATGTGGCCATTTGCGAAAGGTTCTGTTCTTATTTTTGCTCGGTCATTCAAACAATGCACCCTGCAGCTGAAAGGAAACAAAAAAAGTTTAATATGTGCATTGGGGCCCTCTGTGAGTGCAACAGTTTGTAGAAATTGTAGGAACCATGATGTGACCGCTAATTGCTAACTGTTGGCATGTTGGGCTGCGTAACATATCTGCACCCAAGAACAGACAATGTTTATACAAGCATATAATGCTCAAGAAAAATTGTAAATATCTATTCAATATGTTTGGCTAAAAAGTGGCCAGACATACGTGTATATTACATCTATGAAAAAAAGAAAAAAGTAAAAGAAAAAAATAAATATACATAAAATATAAAAGAAAAAAAAACACAAACATTAAAAAAATGGAGGAAAAAAAAATTAGTTTAGATGCTGTGAGTTATTATTGAACACACAAAATGACAATTATGGATAAAAAAGGAAGATGAAAAGTAAATTTTTTATTGTAATTACTTTGACAATACTTGTTAGCAATGCATGAATGAATAGTTCTCTTTTTCCTTGTCCTTTTATAAAAGTGTGCTACCTATTCAAGTTACCTACCCTGTTCATTTTTTAAAATTTCCTATTGATTGGCATTGGTGAAAATGGACTTGGTCGTTCTTGAATTCTTCATTTCGACTTAACCAAATTCAAATGGTTGATATTTGTGTAATATGTTTGAAGTCTGACTTTCATCGAATGCCAAGGTGCATGAAATCGAGCCAATGGTGTGCTAACAATGCTATTTATGAAGACCTGTATCATTCGCTGACTTATTGCACCAAAGAGCAGGCTGATTTTTCCCGTTATCGTTGCTTAAAACGTGTCATTTTTCTGTTGATTTATATAACCACTTCAACATTTCAAAAAGAAAAAGAAAAATCTGAACTTTCAATCGATACCTTGTGTTATTTATATATTTACCAACATACTATGATAAATAATGCAAAATCCTTCCAAAAGTCGCAAGTGCACAAAAGGGTTACTTGTAAAGTACATTGTGTAGATATAAATAGCTTGTACATAGTATGCAGCATTATATCATGTGTGATTTGAAGCTTGGTCGGTTAGCAAATTGATGTCTTGGCCAAACCATTGCAATGCATTATGTATCAATGCAAACTTAAGGAAGTGGAGAATAGGATTATCTTCTTGTAAAGAGTATATTTGTAGGGCTGATTAATTCTTTTCGAAGCCAAGATGTAGTCTGCATGTTCCGAGAGAACACAGTTACTCACGGAATCAATCGTTTCTCATTTTTCTACTGTTTATTTACTACTAATCTTGGTCTTCCAAGTCCAGTTTTTACAGGGGTATGTTTGAGTATTTAAAACAAAAAAGCCTGTTTAATAGTGGTACTGTAAAATGATTTTTCTTTTTTAACCAGCTCTGTTTTCGTGCTTAGATAAGTTGTAAAAGCTTAAGGGTGATGGAATGAAAATTATATCAAGGTTCTTTTTAAGTTCTAGAGACATGTTTATCAGGTATTGGTTGGTTTTCAGAGCAATAAGCAACAAGTGCTGCTTTAGCCTGGGAGAAAGATTGCATAGAAATGCTTAATGAGTTCAGCAAATCTTCCCAGGAGGTTTAGTTGGAACCGCCTACGATCAGGCGCAGGTCACTTTGAAGCAATCACAAAGCTCTGGGGTCTCGAAGACTCTGACCCATGTCCATGCGGTCAAATTCAGACCGGCTTAGCATATAATGGGTGTGCTGTAGCAGGACTTCATGTCCCCTATCTGATATCGACAACCCACAGCTGGTGTCGTATCTAAACAATTGTCGGTTTTAAATAGCTATGGTTGATATAAGAAATAATAATGATGCATTCCATTTTGATAATGGCTTTCCTTACCTTACATTCAGTTTGTTTGGAACTTTTGTGTAATGTTCAATGTTTGTCACAAGAACTGAACCAATCAAAAGAAAGAACAAATCGCCCCACACTGCCAAGAACGCAAAGACTCTACCAAAAGTACAGTATTACGATCATCAAAAGATTGTGATAGAATGAACATATGCCAGTGGCCAAAGAAAGTGATTTTGCTTCCGATGTTGTTGGCTGCCAAGTTTTGTTTGGAAAGTTTTTTTACACTCCCTAACAGTTCCATTGTAGAAAAGCCACAACAACCCTTTGAAAATTGTATACGCAAGTATTTTGTCCATGCAGCTTGGTTGAAAGAAAATGAACAAAATTCAATTTTGCTCTTCATTAAATTTGTAATGCCATATAACTGTACAGGTTTGATGTATTACCGTACATTCAAAATCAAAGTAGAGTTTTCAAGATACATGTATATGAAAGTGAATGGATAGAGAATGATTACCGCGCATGCAAATCGCGCTTGTGATCTACAAATGCTGCTATGTGAGATATACCTGAGGTGTATACGCAGTTGAGTCACTGTACAACAGTTCAACTGTTGGTCACATTGTGAGCGAGTGTTCTTGTACAAAGGATATCAGTTTGCAAGATCTTACATACAAAGTGTGTGAAGTTGGCTGGGATGGCGTGAAGTAGCACCGACCTGTAAATGTAAATTCACCAACTTTCCTTGCTGGTCGCTTTACCTCGACTTGATCAAGTACATATAGTGGAATTATCTATCAATTTATCAATTGTAAAAAAATTGAAAAAAGTGGTATTTATGACGCAACGGCCAGTGGTCTAAATATACAGGGTCATAAATGATACTATTGTATGTAGTGCTGTAACTTATTTGATGGAGTTGACTTATCATGTACATTTGTATATTTCCATTTATATAAATGTATGGATGACACAGTTCTAGACAAGTAGAAATTCATTTTTCCTTTCTTTCACATACCGAGTAGAATACAGAGTAGTGTATAAATGTCTTGTAATTACTGGTAGAGTATTTCTTTTGTTGATATTCTTTTCCTATTTCATGCAACAAGTAAGAAAATAAAATTTTATCTTTTTGTCTTGGAAATTCTTCATCTTGAGAATAATTTTTGTTGCGTCTTAAAAGATTTTGAAGATGGTGTTGATTGTTGAAAGATTTTTGTGATGATCGTGGTAGTGGTGGTGACAGTGATGATGATGTGAAGCCGACGACCATGATGATTAAAATAATGATAATGGTGATTCTGATATAAATAAAGTTGATGGTGGATGGTAAAGATGCTGAGGAAGATGATAAATTGATGAAATACAAGGATGAAGGCGACAATGATGATGGTGGTGATGATGATGATGATGAGGGTGGTGATGATGATGGTGGTGGTGATGATGATGAGGGTGGTGGTGATGATGAGGGTGGTGATGATGGTGGTGGTGGTGATGATGGTAGTGATGATGATGGTGGTGATGATGGTGAAGATGAAGGTGGTGCTGAAGATGATGGTGGTGGTGAAGATGATGGTGGTGATGATGGTGGTGGAGGTGATGATGATGATGTTGGTGGTGGTGGTGATGATGATGATGGTGGTGGTGATGATGATGGTGGTGATGATGGTGGTGGTGGTGGAGGTGGTGATGATGATGATGGTGGTGGTGATGATGATGATGGTGGTGATGATGATGATGATGGTGGTGGTGGTGATGATGATGATGGTGGTGATGATGATGGTGGTGATGATGATGATGGTGGTGGTGATGATGATGATGGTGGTGGTGAAGATGATGATGGTGGTGGTGAAGATGATGGTGGTGGTGAAGATGATGATGGTGATGGTGATGGTGGTGATGATGGTGGTGGAGGTGATGATGATGATGGTAGTGATGATGATGATGGTGATGGTGATGATGATGGTGGTGGTGAAGATGATGGTGGTGGTGAAGATGATGATGGTGGTGGTGAAGATGGTGATGGTGATGATGATGATGGTGGTGGTGATGATGATGATGGCGGTGGTGATGATGGTGGCGATGATGAATGATTATGATAATGGTGATTGTGAAAATAATTGTATTGATGGTGAATGATTGAAAATGATTGTGCAATTGTCGATAGATGTCGGTGCTGTGTTTGTGGTGATAATGAATATAGCAATGATGTTGGTGCTGATAAGATGTTCACGATTATGATGACAACATGAACAAGATTGACAACGGCAATGTGATGATGATGATGCTGTTCCATGGTGACGGTGATGGTGATCATCGAATTAATGGTGGCAAACTGGATGATGGTTGTAATGATGGCGATGGTGCTGATAGGTGTTGGTGCTGTGGTGAAATTAATTGCAATATTGGTGATGATGATAAAGATGGTGATGATGATGATGATGATGATAAAGTTGGACATGAGAGAGGGTCCAATACTGAAAAGATGTTTGGAATGTTGATGACAATGACAATGATGGCCATGACAGTTTTAACAATTATTTCAATGATACAAGATCATGTATTAAGCTTGCAACAACAAAAATTTGCAAATCTGTCGATACTAGTAGAATGGTGAAGATGTAAAATGCGTATGCTTTTTGATTACGAGATATTATTGATGGTGAAGGTGAAAAATACCATGACAATCATCAAGATGATGCGCTGATGCCGCTCAAGAGGATGGTATTGTTGGCAAAAATCATCACTATCATAACCTTCTATTTGGGATTATTACCATTTTATTTGAGAATCATAACTTCCTTAGAGACCTTTAAATCCAAGATGAAATCTTATCTTTTTAAAGAATACCTGTACTTGGCACTATGACACTCATCCAAACTCTCTCATTCTTTCTATTTTTCTTCTGCGTCTTGGAATATAATTGTCTAGATAGACGGCGATATATAAATGCCTATTATTATTATTATTATTACTATTCAAAGATAAGTTTTCCAAAATAAGTACACGCACGGCCAAACGTTTCTATCTGCGACTGTGTCATGTATGGACTACAGAGGGCAGTAGTCCTCTATCTTATGTGGAATCCCTGATTTATCATATCCCCCCTTCAATCTTTGTTTCCTTTTCGAACGATTCATTGCATCTATTGCCAAAGGCACCTAACCACATCACCATCATCGTTTGTCATTGTGATAACTATATGCATGCTGATATTGATCTTCACCATTGTCACCTTCATCATCACCACCACCATAATAATCATCATCATCACTGTCATCATCATCATCATATCGTAATCATCAACATCACAACTAATATCATCTTTGTCATCATCATCATCACCAAAACAAATTCGACTATCATCATCACCATCTTCATCATAGTATAATCATCACCATCACAACTAATATCATCATTGTCATCATCATCACCATCATCACTACTACAACAATTATCATCACCCCATCATCACCTTCACCACTACCTCCGCAAACACAACTATCATCACCACAACTACCATCAAAACCTTCATCATCACCACCAACACAGCTATCATCATCATCATCATCACCGTCACAAACATCATCATCACCTCCACCATCATCAGTTCAATAACAATCAATCCCTGTCCCTGGTTCACATGGTACCCATTCGATGAATAGTTGTTCTTTATATTAAAGATAAAGACCATTTATGGTCGTGCGATTGCATTGTGAAAGAAACGTTGTGGAATCGATCAAAAAAGGTTGATCATCTAGCATATAAGGATTGGTGTGTAATGCAAGGTTCTGGAATCATCAAAATGATAAGAAATTTGGCCCAGTCTTGGTAAAGTTACAAGCGTTGTACACAGAAAGATGTATATGGGAATACGCGACCCGAGCGCGATATCTATCAGGTCCAAATAGATATAATAATTTACCAAATATGCCAGTTATTAGGCGATTTCTCGGCAAAATTTATATCATCACATATTAGTCAAAACATATTCTTTCACATGATTGATAATAAAGAGCTTCCATTTCATTTTTTGAGAGGAGGGTGTTTCCCAAACTGGTCTTTACCTTTAAGAACTAGAAGGCTATCTCTAATACAAACATACAATGTATTAGGTAGTAGTTGTAATTGAGCATCGAGTAATGGTCAGTGTGGGTCAGTGTGAAGGCAATGTCAAATAAATAATCATAACAGCTTCTCTTGTTGTATAGAAAAAGAAAATAAGTACTGTTTATTTCATATATCTGTAAACAAATTACATAATAATTAATCACATGAACAATTATTTAATTTAAATCTACAATGTAACTGATTTTAAAAATCAACTCTTGTTGTATTGCACAATCATAGCTCATTCGATAATTCATGCTAAGTGAGGAAAATCCAAATTTCAGGTTTTCATCAATATTTTCATAATAGATTGCAGGACACATTCAAAATAATTATGTAAATACAAGTATACTCATTAAGATTAATTATTTGATCGCACAAAGTGTAGAGAAAGAAAATATTGTTTTTTAACAGCCATTACGTCTAAAATATTAATTTTGCTCTAAAAATTCAGTTTTTACATGTGCCTTGATATTCTAGCACTCTGCAAGGATCACTGCCATTTCATTCCAGTACAGAGACATTGAATATGAAGCACTCACGATTACAGTTCAACTCACAAATTCTTTCCTTTGCACCAATTGAGTTTTTTTCTGGTAATTATTTGAAGTATAAAATCTGACGATCAACCTGAAAGACATACATTTCATTGATTTTAACCAACGATGAGTGTTATCTAACGACCTATGAATTTCAGCATGAACAATAATAGCTTATATCACCATAGCCTCATCAGCATCAAAGGGAAATCCAACCTTAACAGACAACATCTCTATTAAAAAGAACGCAGAAAAATCAGAGAAGCAGGCTGGTGAAAGGCCGACTATGGCCAGAAAAATAATTCGCCAGGGGTTTTTGCCTGAAAACTGGCATCCCTGTTATACAGGCAGATGGCATGTTTGCAAGATTTTAACACATAATGTCCCATAGGAAAGAAATGAGCCTGCCGCATACTCCTGCGGCAGACTTGCCGCAGATCTGCAGCAGACCTGCCGCAGACAGTCATCTTTTTCACATGCAAATTAGTTTTGCCGCAGACTTGCCGCAGACTTGCCGCATACTCTTTCAGTATGGTGAAGAGTCTGCGGTAGGTCTGCCGCAGACTTGCTGCAGACCTGCCGCATACTCTTTCAGTATGATGAAGAGTATGCGGCAGGTCTGCCGCAGACTTGCTGCAGACCTGCCGCATACTCTTTCAGTATGATGAAGAGTCTGCGGCAGGTCTGCCGCAGACTTGCCGCATACTCTTTCAGTATGATGAAGAGTCTGCGGCAGGTCTGCTGCAGACTTGCTGCAGACTTGCCGCATACTCTTTCAGTATGATGAAGAGTCTGCGGCAGGTCTGCCGCAGACTTGCTGCAGACTTGCCGCATACTCTTTCAGTATGATGAAGAGTCTGCGGCAGGTCTGCCGCAGACTTGCTGCAGACCTGCCGCAGACTCTTCGTCATGAATATTCATATCTCATATAGACCTGCTGCAGACCTGCCGCATACTCTTTCATATCCAGTACGTGGCAATAAAGTATGCATGTAGAAGAACCAGTGATAAACTGATTGATACTTCATAATCGATATTGGCAATATCGATATTACCAATTAGGTAATACCAATATGTATGTCGATATGACCAATTAGGTATATTCTATTCTCAATTGTATTAGCTTCATCACATTGATCATTTGAAGTGTATTCAAGAGTAACATTTAAAGTGACACAGGCTCGTACACATATATATACTAAATATGTATATTGTTTCTTGGTTAGTAATCATAGTTTCTTGGTTAGTAATCAATATATCTATTGCTTAAACGTGAATGTAATTGTAACATGATCAGACAAAATAATCTATTGGTTAATAATGGCAAAAGGAAAATAGAAATCACAAAAATGATGTGCATTGTCTTAATTTGCTTAACAAATCATGATAAATGTATTTTTCTGTCACACGTGTAAAGTAATAATGAATATGCATGAGATGATTGGTTTTAATTGGCCCTATTAGACTTTAATGGGATTTCCTGTGGCAGACCTGCCGCAGACTGTTCCAGTAGCGTACTGGTATGCGGCAAGTCTGGAGCAAAGTTTCGCCCTGCCGCAGATCTGCCGCAGACTTTTCCTGCGGCATACTAGTATGCAGCAAGTCTGGAGCAAAGTTTCATCCTGCCGCAGATCTGCCGCAGACTGTTCCTGTGGCATACTAGTATGCGGCAAGTCTGCAGCAAATTTCATCCTGCCGCAGATCTGCCGCAGACTGTTCCTGTGGCATACTAGTATGCGGCAAGTCTGGAGCAAAGTTTCATCCTGCCGCAGATCTGCCGCAGACTGTTCCTGTGGCATACTAGTATGCGGCAAGTCTGCAGCAAAATTTCATCCTGCCGCAGATCTGCCGCAGATTGTTCCTGTGGCATACTAGTATGCGGCAAGTCTGGAGCAAAGTTTCATCCTGCCGCCGATCTGCCGCAGACTGTTCCTGTGGCATACTGGTATGCGGCAAGTCTGCAGCAAAATTTCTTTCTGCCGCATACTTCGGCATACTCTTTGCCGCAGACTTTTAGTCTGCGGCAGGTCTGCGGCAGATCTGCGGCAGGTCTGCGGCAGGTCTGCGGCATACTTTTCACTTTCCTATGGGGTACGTTGAATACACAAAACAGGTTTTAATCTGATAGTAACAATCTTACATGATGAGCTGTGAATCTGTGCATTTTCCAGGTTTACAACTTTCTCTACTACTGGAGGAATTCAGCTAAAGAAGAAAAAGAAGAAGATGATTGAAAAAATGCTCACTCCCCCAACCTCCACAATCTTTCTGATCGCACCTATTAAGTGGGCGTGTCAAGCTGATAGCGTTTGGTGGGCGGTTGCGTTCCCTTGATGGTGGTCCTGTGGAGGACCCTCAGCCCCGCCTTCTCTACCGCCTCCTGCGTCTGGGGTGTGGCCTCATGACCCACGGCCAGGTTGTCTGAGATAATGAAATCACCAACCTGCCACTGCGATACATGATCAAAGGTTAAAGGAAGATGCAGAGTTACAAGCAGGGCACGTCCAAAATATAACTTATATTAAATCTAATATGTACTGGACTACTGGTACATCTTATCAAATAATGAATGGAAACTAATATTTTAAAAAAGTACATTGTAAGTATAGAGTGGTGAAGTGTGACGTCATCAAAAATCTATTTTTAGAATTTCTCAATGTTTTCTTTATTTTCTGAAAGAGCATAAAAAATAATGTCCAAATGTAGAAAATCAATTGAATATGTTAAGTATTTGTTCAGATGGTCATATCTCAGCCAATACTTAACATTTTCAATTGATTTTTGACAGTTGGACATGATTTTTTATGCTCTTTTTGAAAATGAAGAAAAAGTTTAGAAATATTTGTTGGTTTGGTTTTGGTTTGTTTATTTAACATGACTGCTAAGTAAGCATGTGTATGCTTGTATGTAAGCAACGAAGGAGACCGACTTGGTAATAGGATTAATGCCTTACTAAAGGGCACTGGCGCATTGAATTGAATTGGTTTCGAGAAAACATCAGTAAATGAAAGTCACATGACTCTCCTTTCTTCCGTGTATCGCATGCAGATCAGCAAAAAGTTGCGCATGCGCACTACTCACAAAAAAATCGGAATGAGCGTACACCAACAGTTTTTTTATGGGTTCTTCCAGCAGTGTAAATTGCAGTCAAAGAAATCAACAACTTTCCAAAATAATGTTTGGGCGGTGTAAATGGGCCTACAGTCTCCTTTGTGGTTCATTCATATTCGGTCAAATATTTTGTTTGGGGTTATAATCTGATTACCTTGTGGGAGTACTGAATGGCACCATCGTCCTTGACAAACTCATGACGGATCTCGTTCAGGATCTGCTGGGTCTCTGAGGGGTCTGTCATCCTCTGTCCCGGTGTCCCGTAGTCCCATGTGAAAGCATCAGTCATGCCAAGATGGAAGCACAATGTCTAGAGGAAAGAGGAAGACAGCAAAGGGAATAATTGTTCAATAAACCATCTGCTGGGTCTCTACAGGGTCTGCATGTCATCCTCTATCCTGCTGTCCCATAGTCCCACGTGAACGCATCGGTCATACCAAGATGGAAGCACATCCTCTGGATGAAAGAGGAAAGACAGCTAGGGTATTATCGTCCAATAAAACACAAAGGTAATGAAAGGGAGAAGAAGGAAGCACTGAAAGAAAAGGAAAACGTCAAGAGAACAAAAATATCTGATGGGAGAAGGAGGAAACACTGAAAGATTAAGAAAACATCTAGAGAATAAAAATAACTAATGAGATGAGGAAACACTGAAAGACAAAGAAAACATCAAGGAAATAAAAATAACTAATGAGAGAAGTAGGAAGCACTGAAATATTAAGAAAACATCAAGAGAATAATTATCCAAATGACCACAGCGAAGGGAGTAGTCTCTGGTAAATCAACAGAATAGACGACTCTACATTTTAAGGGAAAGAGAGGAGAAAACTAGATGGAATTTTGACTGCGCGCAGTCGAAAATGATGCCTCCGCCATAGAGCAATTTAAACAAGTTTGGAGTTTAAATCTCCAGTGGTTCTTGAGATATCATGATAACAATCTCAATGTATGGAATTTCATAAGTTGACCTCTGTGACCCTTGACCTTTGACCTACGTGCTCCAAAATCTAATCAGATTGTCTTCCTATGGTGATACACACTATCATTAAGTTTGAAGTTTAAATCTCCAGTGGTTCTTGAGATATTATGATATGGTGATACATACTATCATTAAGTTTGAAGTGAAAATTCTCCAGTGGTTCTTGAGATATCGCGATAACGATCTCAATGTATGGAATTTCATAAGTTGACCTCTGTGACCCTTGACCTTTGACCTACGTGCTCCAAAATCTAATCAGATTGTCTTCCTATGGTGATACACACTATCATTAAGTTTGAAGTTTAAATCTCCAGTGGTTCTTGAGATATTATGATAACAATCTCAATGTATGGAATTTCATAAGTTGACCTCTGTGACCCTTGACCTTTGACCTACGTGCTCCAAAATCTAATCAGATCGTCTTCCTATGGTGATACATACTATCCTTAAGTTTGAAGTTTTTACATCTCAAGTGGTTCTTGAGATATCATGATAACAATCTCAATGTATGGAATTTCATAAGTTGACCTCTATGACCCTTGACCTTTGACCTACGTGCTCCAAAATGTAATCAGATTGTTTTCCTATAGTGATACACACTATCACTAAGTTTGAAGTTTAAATCTCCAGTGGTTCTTGATATATCATGATAACAATCTCAATGTATGGAATTTCATAAGTTGACCTCTGTGACCCTTGACCTTTGACATACGTGCTCCAAAATCTAATCAGATCGTCTTCCTATGGTGATACATACTATCCTTAAGTTTGAAGTTTAAATCTCAAATGGTTCTTGAGATATCGCGCTAACAAACTCAATACAAGGAATTTCATAAGTTGACCTCTGTGACCTGTGACCTTTGACCTACGTACTCCAAAATCTGATCAGATCGTCTTCCTATGGTGATAAATACTATTCCCGAGTCTTAAGTTTAAATCTTAAATGGTTCTTGAGATATTGTGATAACGGTCAAACGGGACGGACATACGGACGGACAACCCGAAAACATGATGCCTCCGGCACCACCTTCGGTGGCGGAGGCATAAAAATATATTTTCCTCCAAAATCCTGAACCACCCCGGCCCTTACCATTTCGGCCTGAAATTGGTGTTTATTCAAATTATCACAATATTTGCCCCTACGCCCCTATCAAAGGGATATGGGGGTCAAGATCCATCTAATGGCATGTATGGACATTCATTGTGGGGAATAACCTATTAAAAACAAAACAAAAAATTTCCTCCAAAATGCTGAACCACCCCGGACCTTCTAATTTCGGCCCGAAAGTTGTGATAATTCAAATTTTTACAATATTTGCCCTTACGCCCCTTTCAAAGGGATATGGGGGTCAGGATCCATCTAATGGCATGTATGTACATTCATTGTGGGGAAAATAGCCTATTAAAAAAAAAAAAAAATTTCCTCCAAAATGCTGAACCACCCCGGCCCTTACAATTTCGGCCCGAAAGTTGGGATAATTCAAATTTTTACAAAATTTGCCACTACGCCCCTTTCAAAGGGATATGGGGGTCAGAATCGATTTAATTGCATGTAGGTACATTCATTGTGGGGAAACTAGCCTATTAAAAAAAATATATATTTTCCTCCAAAATCCTGAACCACCCCGGCCCTTACCATTTCGGCCTGAAATTGGTGTTTACTCAAATTATCACAATATTTGCCCCTACGCCCCTTTCAAAGGGATTAGGGGTCAGGATCCATCTAATGGCATGTATGTACATTCATTGTGGGGAAACTAACCTATTCAAAAAAAATAATATTTTCCTCCAAAATGCTGAACCACCCCGGCCCTTACCATTTCGGCACGAAAGTTGTGATAATTCAAATTATCACAATATTTGCCCCTACGCCCCTTTCAAAGGGATATGGGGGTCAAGATCCATCTAATGGCATATATGGACATTCATTGTGGGGAAACCAACCTATTAAAAAAATATAATATTTTCCTCCAAAATGCTGAACCACCCCGGACCTTCTAATTTCGGCCCGAAAGTTGTGATAATTCAAATTTTTACAATATTTGCCCCTACGCCCCTTTCAAAGGGATATGGGGGTCAGGATCAATCTAATGGCATTTATGTACATTCATTATGGGGAAACTAGCCTATTAAAAAAATATAATATTTTCCTCCAAAATGCTGAACCACCCCGGCCCTTACAATTTCGGCCTGAAATTGGTGTTTACTCAAATTATCACAATATTTGCCCCTACGCCCCTTTCAAAGGGATATGGGGGTCAGGATCATCTAATGGCATGTATGGACATTCATTGTGGGGAAACCAACCTATTAAAAAAATATAATATTTTCCTCCAAAATGCTGAACCACCCCGGACCTTCTAATTTCGTCCCGAAAGTTGTGATAATTCAAATTTTTACAATATTTGCCCCTACGCCCCTTCCAAAGGGATATGGGGGTCAGGATCCATCTAATGGCATGTATGTACATTGATTGTGGGGAAACTAGCCTATTCAAAAAATATAATATTTTCCTCGAAAATGCTGAACCACCCCGGCCCTTACCATTTTGGCCTGAAATTGGTGTTTATTCAAATTATCACAATATTTGCCCCAATGCCCCTTTCAAAGGGATATGGGGGTCAAGATCCATCTAATGGCATGTAGGTACATTCATTGTGGGGAAACTAGCCTATTAAAAAAATATATATTTTACTCCAAAATCCTGAACCACCCCGGCCCTTACCATTTCGGCCTGAAATTGGTGTTTATTCAAATTATCACAATATTTGCCCCTACGCTCTTTCAAAGGGATATGGGGGTCAAGATCCATCTAATGGCATGTATGGACATTCATTGTGGGGAAACAAACCTATTAAAAAAAAAAAAATTTTCCTCCAAAATGCTGAACCACCCCGGACCTTCTAATTTCGGCCCGAAAGTTGTGATAATTCAAATTTTTACAATATTTGCCCCTATGCCCCTATCAAAGGGATATGGGGGTCAGGATCCATCTAATGGCATGTATGTACATTCATTGTGGGGAAAATAGCCTATTAAAAAAAAAAATATTTTCCTCCAAAATGCTGAACCACCCCGGACCTTCTAATTTCGGCCCGAAAGTTGTGATAATTCAAATTTTTACAATATTTGCCCCTATGCCCCTTTCAAAGGGATTAGGGGTCAGGATCCATCTAATGGCATGTATGTACATTCATTGTGGGGAAACTAACCTATTCAAAAAAAATAATATTTTCCTCCAAAATGCTGAACCACCCCGGCCCTTACCATTTCGGCACGAAAGTTGTGATAATTCAAATTATCACAATATTTGCCCCTACGCCCCTTTCAAAGGGATATGGGGGTCAAGATCCATCTAATGGCATATATGGACATTCATTGTGGGGAAACCAACCTATTAAAAAAATATAATATTTTCCTCCAAAATGCTGAACCACCCCGGACCTTCTAATTTCGGCCCGAAAGTTGTGATAATTCAAATTTTTACAATATTTGCCCCTACGCCCCTTTCAAAGGGATATGGGGGTCAGGATCAATCTAATGGCATTTATGTACATTCATTGTGGGGAAACTAGCCTATTAAAAAAATATAATATTTTCCTCCAAAATGCTGAACCACCCCGGCCCTTACCATTTTGGCCTGAAATTGGTGTTTACTCAAATTATCACAATATTTGCCCCTACGCCCCTTTCAAAGGGATATGGGGGTCAGGATCATCTAATGGCATGTATGGACATTCATTGGGGAAACTAACCTATTAAAAAAAATATATATTTTCCTCCAAAATGCTGAACCACCCCGGCCCTTACCATTTCGGCCTGAAATTGGTGTTTACTCAAATTATCACAATATTTGCCCCTACGCCCCTTTCAAAGGGATATGGGGGTCAGGATCATCTAATGGCATGTATGGACATTCATTGGGGGAAACTAACCTATTAAAAAAAAATATATTTTCCTCCAAAATGCTGAACCACCCCGGACCTTCTAATTTCGGCCCGAAAGTTGTGATAATTCAAATTTTTACAATATTTGCCCCTACGCCCCTTCCAAAGGGATATGGGGGTCAGGATCCATCTAATGGCATGTAGGTACATTCATTGTGGGGAAACTAGCCTATTAAAAAAATATATATTTTACTCCAAAATGCTGAACCACCCCGGCCCTTACCATTTTGGCCTGAAATTGGTGTTTATTCAAATTATCACAATATTTGCCCCTATGCCCCTTTCAAAGGGATATGGGGGTCAAGATCCATCTAATGGCATGTAGGTACATTCATTGTGGGGAAACTAGCCTATTAAAAAAAATATATATTTTACTCCAAAATCCTGAACCACCCCGGCCCTTACCATTTCGGCCTGAAATTGGTGTTTATTCAAATTATCACAATATTTGCCCCTACGCTCTTTCAAAGGGATATGGGGGTCAAGATCCATCTAATGGCATGTATGGACATTCATCGTGGGGAAACAAACCTATTAAAAAAAAAATATTTTCCTCCAAAATGCTGAACCACCTCGGACCTTCTAATTTCGGCCCGAAAGTTGTGATAATTCAAATTTTTACAATATTTGCCCCTATGCCCCTATCAAAGGGATATGGGGGTCAGGATCCATCTAATGGCATGTATGTACATTCATTGTGGGGAAACTAGCCTATTAAAAAAAATATATATTTTCCTCCAAAATGCTGAACCACCCCGGCCCTTACCATTTTGGCCTGAAATTGGTGTTTATTCAAATTATCACAATATTTGCCCCTACGCCCCTTTCAA